GGACTCGATCCTGGGACTCCAGGATCATGACCTGAGCCGAAGGCAGTCGCTTAACCAACTGAGCCACCCAGGCGCCCCTGAATACACTGCCTCTTAAGTACTGAATGTTCTGCAAGTTTTTTTATAAACTTTATAATTTCAATTTTTAATTTTCCCTCCTCTTTTTGTAGGATTTTAGTCCTCTCTTGAGTTCTTGACTAAGTTTTATACACATATACAATTTGTTAATAGTAGTTAATAGTTATTAGCTATGGTTAATAGTTATTTATTTATTTTTAAAAGATTTTATTTATTTGAGAGAAAGAGAGAGAGAGAGAGAAACAGCATGAGAGGGGAGAGGGTCAGAGGGAGAAGCGGGCTCCCAGCTGTGGGACTTGATCCCAGGACTCCGGGGTCATGACCTGAGCCGAAGGCGGTCGCTTAACCAACTGAGCCACCCAGGTGCCCTGGTTAATAGTTACTGAATGCTTACTGTGTTTTAAGCATACAGCTGGATGCTCATTTAATTCATGCAGTAATCCTATGAGAAAGAAGTATTAGGTTAAATAATCTGTTTAAGTTCACACAAGTAGTAAGAGGTGGAAGTGGGTTAAGGATCTATAGGGAATCTGGTTCTTGAAATTTTGATCTTAAGCATTAGGTATACTGCCTCCTTAGATCTCCACTTTTTTGCTTTTTGGTAGCTGTATCATTCCTTTAAATAAGAAACCATTAATTTTGTTTTTTTTTCAGAACAAACTGATTGTGGTTCATTTTGGGACCAAATACTACTGCTGCTTTCTCTCCCCCCCTTTTTTTTCTTTGAGTCCCTTGCCCTATAGCTTTGTTTTTCTTACAGTGATCTTTAAAAATCTATAATAGGTAATATAACTCTTTTGCTTTAAATATTCTCTAATGGCTTCCCATAGCACTTAAAATGAAATAAAAACTCCTCATCCTGGCTCTATATGATTTGGCTCTTTGGAACTTTATAACAAGTTTTTATATTATGCTATTTGGATAAAGAATTAGATATCTCCTATGTTTAACATGTAGTTTCTGAAAGTAATAAATTTTTTTTTGTAATTAAAAAAGTTTTATAATCACCTTGTAGGAGTTTTAGAAAAGAGAAAAGATAGTGTTTTCCAGACTATGTCCCAGAAGCTCTTTTAGCATAAGCAAACTTTGATGAAAAAGGAAATGACCTTAGATCGGCAATATAAAGAAATTACTACCCTGAGGTTAAGTGCTGAACTTTTTAATCACTCTAATCTGAGTTCATGTTTGCTTTTTCACTTACTTTATGTCTTTAGGTAAATTATTTCTCTAGTCCTTATCTTGTTCAAATGGGTTAAAGAATGTGTTTGAAGTATAGTATAGTGCCTGATCCATTGTAAGCATTCAGTAAGTGACAGCTACATTTGAAAACAAATTTATTTCGGGATTTAGGACTTAAACATATGGATCTATTGGATATTTCTTCTTGGACAGAAATCAAGCTTACGCTATAAATTTCATACTGTAATAAGTAAATATTGAACATATTAATGGGCTAAATAAGTATTTAGATAGGCATAAATGATTTATAATAGATTAAGAAGTTATGATCAAGGGGTGCCTAGGTGGCTTAGTCAGTTAAGCATCCAACTCTTGATTTCTGCTCAGGTCATGATCTCAGGGTCATGACATGGAGCCCTGCTATCATGCTCCATGACTGCAGAGTCTGCTTGTCCCTCTCCCTCTGCTCCTATCCCTGCTCATGCTCTTTCTCTCTTTCTCAAATAAATAAATAAAATCTTAAAAAAAAAAAAAGTTAAGATCAAGTAAATTATTTGCCTACGTTTTAAATGTTGCCATCATTAGGAACAGTTCTTATAATAGTGTCAGGATCCTGTGGCAGCAGAACACAGGAGTGTCTAGAGACAAGGAATGGTTAATAAAAAAGGGAAAATGTACATTTATCTTTTCTTTCAAGACTAATAAGATCTTGCATATGAGCCTAAAGAGTACCATAGATTCTTGTCAGATTATAAATATTTCTAATAGTTGTATCAAGTGGAAATGTTCAGGTAGAGCATGATATCTCATACTTTCCCAGAAATTGATTGTGTCAAACACATTTGATACTGGTTAACTTTTAGCTTCATTTGCACCATTGGTTGCCATTTATTTATCTGCTAGGCAGCAGTGTTCTTTGCTTTCCTTATCCTAAATTTATGTTACTCAAGGTATCTTTAGTTTTCAGAATTTGATGGACAAGTTTGAGGTTTTCCTTTAAATTATTTTGAAAAGTTATCAGAATAGTGATGTGTTCAGGGTCCCTTTGAAGATGGAGAATTTGACTAGATGAAGAGGTCATCAGTATACAGATATGTAGGTGATCTGTAGAGTTAAGATGAAGCCCTGGTCTCTTGTAGAGGTCAGTCTAGTTTGTCCTTTTCTTTCTGGCAGACATCATATTTTCAATCTTAGACACTTGGTTGTCTGTACTACTTAAAATACTCCTGAGAATTCCTTTGGGATCCTGTTCTGTATCTGATTACCTCACTTTTTTTTCCCTGAATATTTGTCTTTTAGGAAAATTGTTAATTGTGATTTTTTATGCATATTTTAATTCTTAGGATTAGAAGTAAAAATAACTATTCATATATAATGATAATTTCTTATTTGATTAATCTTATGAAGTATATTGGGCCATATGTCTTCAGACTGAGTTACTTAATTTTCAAAAACAAGTCAAATTCTCCTTCCATGTTTCACAAGAGTAAAACCTCTCATTTACAGGCATTTTTTTCAAAAATCTTTGTCTAATCTCTGCTAAGGTGAATTTATTATTTTCTGCATATATTGAAAGATTTGTGGCCATGTTTTATATTTAAATGTCATATAAAATAAGATTGATACATCTTATTTAGTAGTGGCATGATCAACTATTTTTATTTTTCCCCAGGAGGATAGCAAACAAGCTCAGTTTTTAGCCTTGGCAGTTGTGTACTTTATCTCTGTTCTTATGGTCTCAAAGTACAGAGACATTTTGGAACCCCAAAATGAAAGGCGTAACCAGTCATTTAAGGAAACTGGTAGTGAACGTGGAAATTTATCACTTCCTGGTAAGTTTCCATATCTTATTATCTGGCATTCAAAGTTCAAGTAAAACATTACCTAATAGTTAAAATACTGATTTTGGAATTTAAATCCATTTATGCATAAAGTGTGAGTGTACATTTTTTATTAACAACTAAATATTTCAGGTTAAGTACCATGTAGGTAGTTGCAATTGGGAGACAGTATCTCTTCTTTAATTAAAACATAAGTGAGAAAATGTTATCCTTTGCAAATAAAGTGTTAAACATTTTTGTTGCTTTGGCATTTATTGTGAAGAATAAATCATCTTCTTTTATAAGAGACAGATTTGTTAACAAAAAACTGTAATACCTGGAGTGTTCTAGAAGTAGCTGCAGGTTATAGAGGTGTAGTTAGAGAAGCAGCTATTATAGTTGTAGCAGTAGCTACCACTCAGTGGAGGTGGTTTATTTATTTAATAAACATTCATTCAGTACCTCCTAGGTACTTGGGTATATTCATGAACAAAAGAGGAAAAAACTGTCTGCCCTTTTGGAGCTTGTATTCTAGTGAGAGGAGATAGAAAAGAACTGCAGGTAATAAGTAAATTGTATAGTATTTTAGAAGGTTGTAAGTACTAAGAAAAGATAAAATCGAATAGAGAAAAATATTAGGAATGACCAGGAGAAATGTAGTGTGGATTTTTACTCTAAGGAAAATGGAGAATTATTTGAGCGTTTTGAGACAGGAGTTACAATTGACTTGTTTTTAAAAGTAACAGTTGGGATTCTGTATGGAGAATACACTCTAGAGAGCAAGGAAAAAACCAGGGTTTTTGTTATGTACTGCTGTGTAACATCACCTCGAAGCTCAGTGGCTAAAACCATAACTGTTTTAATCTTGTTACCATGATTCCGTGAATTTGGTTTGGACAGGGCACAATGGGGATAATTCATCCCTGCTCTAAATGATGTTTGCTGGGGTCTGAAATGGCTTTTCTACTCATATATTTACTGCCTAGCTAGGATGGCTCCAAGAGTTGAGGCTGACTGACTTGAAGTAGCTCAGCTGGTGTTTATGTCTGGGGCCTTGACACTTGGTCTCAGCTGAAATTCCTTGGTGTTCCATCATTAGTTTGGAGGCCCTCTATCTTTTCATGTAGTCTCTGTACATGTTCTCTCCATTAAGGTAGCCAGCTTGCTTACAGAGGTGTTCAGGGATTCTGAAAAATGCACAAGCTGCCAGACCTTTGTAAAGATTGGGCACAGAACTGGCCCACTGCCACATTCTGTTGGTTAAAGTAAGTGAGGCCTAGCCCACATTCAAAGGGGTGAATACCAGGAGGCATGGGCCAACAGGATTATTAATGTAACAGTCTAACACAACCAGTTGGGAGGATATTGCAATAATCCAGGAAAGAATGGATTTTGGGATGGACTAAGGTGGTAACTGGTAGCTATAGGGCTGGTAAGCAGTAGTCAGATTCTGGATATATTTTGATGGTAGAGAGAACAGGATTTAAAATACTAGTTGTGGATACGTGAAAGATGGAACATTGTTAAGAATGACTATAAAGTGCAGTTGGTTAGACTGAAAGTGAAACATTTTCAGGGAAAGATAAATTCAGTTTTCAACATGTTGAGTTTGAGATATCTTTTAGACATAGAAGATGTAGAGTAGGCACTTAAAAATAAGTCTGATTTTGTTGTTGTTGATAGAGTAGTAGTTTAAAAGTTTGAGAGTGAATGAGATCATTGAGGGAATAAATGTTGAAAGGGAAGGTAAGTGCTAAGTCCCTCCAACTAAAGAAATCAGGGAGAAAAAGAAGTGAAGGAAATTAAGAAGGAACAACCAGTGAGGTAATAGATGAAAAACCAGAAGAGTATGATGTCCTATTAGCCAGGTGAAAAAGTATTACCAAGTTGGAGGGAATGATCTTTTGCTGCTGCTGTATCAAGTACTATTAGGACTGAGAACTGACCATAGGAGTTAGCAAGATGGAGGGTTTTGGTGACCATTGGATCTAGCAAGATGGAGCGTTTTTGTTGGAATGCAGTGAATGCCTGATTAGAGGGAATGAAAGTCAAACAGAAAGTAGGTGATGCTCCTTGTTGAACTAGATGTTAAAGATTATTGAAGTATTCTTGCGTATGGGAGGGATAACATGTTTTTTTAGCAGGTAGAAACTGTTTGAGGTAGAAATCTTAGAATTACTGTCCAAAAAAATGGCAATGTATAAAGGCACAGAAGCCCAAAACATTGTCCCATGTTCAGCAGATTGCAAGTAATTTGGTGTTGTAAAGTATAAGAGTAGCAGGAGATAAAGTTGGAAATGAATAGTCATTTGATAAATAGTTGCTGACCACCTACTACTTGCAAGCCATTATTGTGAGCCCAGGCATTGTTATAGGTGCTGGACATGAAGTGTTAAAGAAGACATATTCCTTGCCTTGATTAAGTTTACATTCTAGCCGACTTCTATTATTGAAGAGTCTTTATTTTATCCTAAGGATTTTGGATTTTTTCTTGTAGGCCAATCGCTTTCAACCTTGTGTTGCTTTCCATTGGTATGTTATATTCAGTTTGGTGGGTTTTTCTCAGATAGTTTGTTATCATTTATTATTTTTATTCTCATCATTTTATTAAAGCATCTATTTTGATTATAGGTATACTAACACAGTATACTATATAGATTATGTAATTTATTTTTGCCTTTTAGAACATGCCATATATTTCATAATTTAAAATAGTAGATGGTAAGATGTGTTCAATAGGTGATGGGGATTAAGGAGTACACTTGTTGTGATGAGCACCGGGTTATGTGGGTGATGTATGGAAGTGTTGAATCACTACATTGTACACCTGAAACTAATATAACACTGTGTGTTAACTAGCTGAAATTAAAATAAAAACTTAAAAAGTAAATAAAATAATAGATGGCTGTTAGGACTGAATGGACCCTTTAAAAATTGGTTCTAAGTTTTTTTTGTTTCTTTTCTTCTGTTTCTGGGTAAGATGTAGAAAATACACCATCAGCATTTAGTCCGTTAACACCAGCGTCAGTGGAAGAACCTGAAAGCACATCATCTACTCGAAGGAGGGACTCAGGCATTGGGGAAGAAACAGCTGCTGGCTTAGGAAACAGTGTGGATGTAGCTCCTCCTATTGTACCTTCAAGTGTCAGTGCAGGCCCAGATGCAATCAGTGAGGCACTGTGCACTCTTTCTTTAGAAGTCAATAAATCTCAGGAAACCAAAAATGTTGGAGGAAATGAGTTGGATAACAAGGCTGCACCATCAGTTCCAGTTTCAAAAAATGTCAATGTAAAGGACATTCTTCGAAGCTTGGTTAATATACCAGCAGATGGAGTCACAGTGGATCCTACCCTTCTGCCACCAGCCTGCCTTGGAGCTCTCAGTGATCTATCTGTTGAACAACCTGTGCAGTTCAGATCTTTTGATAGGTACTGTAAATAGTCTTTTGTTTTGGTCTGCTTATATTTATAAATTACAGATATTTAAAGGGTAAATAGGAATTTAACTCTTAAATTTTGTGGCTTCAACATTAGAAATGGATGTTTTGATCTAGTTTATAAAAATTAAAAGGATATTTTTGTTGTATAAAAGGTTTGTAGGTAGGCAACAAGGTATTAAAATTTTTATTTTTCATCCTACCAATAAGATGATTTAAAAATAATTTTAATATTTAATTTTAATATTACATTTGGAAGTTGTACATAGTTTTGTTTGTTACAAGTTAGAAATCACCTCTACTTACAAATGGCTACTCTTTTGCTGCCAGTATGGTGCCAGCCTTTGTGGAAAAAAAAAAAAAGGTGGGCATCTGTGGATTCCAGTAGACTCAGGAATTCAAGAAGGTGTTCAGAGCTGACAGCTTGAGAAAGCAGACTCTAGATTCTTGACTTTATTCTGCTGCCTAATAAACCTTTTGCTAATGTGCCTGAAAATTTTTTTATATGTTACTAAACTTTCTGAGATTCTACCTATAAGACATGTATGTATTGAGTTATTAAACATACTCTTTTTCAAACATCGTTAATTTTTATCTGGATATAAGCTCTAACTTACAGAGAAGTTGAAGAACTTTATATGCCAGTTAAAAGAACTTCTGTTTTTCTGGAGTCATTTGAAAGGAAGTTGACACAATAGTCCATCCCCTTTGAATATTTTATTGTATATTTTCTACATAACCACAATACATTAGTCAAAATAAGGAAATTAATACTGATATAATACTACGTTCTAATCTTCAAACACCCTTTAAGTTTCACTAATTGTCTTAATAATATCCTTTATAGTAGAAGGATCCATTTCAGAATTATGTGTTGTATTTTGTTGTGTCTCTATTCTCCTTTAATCTGGAAGAACAGTTCTTTAGTCTTTCCTTGAATTTAATGATCTTGACATTAGGAGATGATAGCCCAGCTGTTTTGTAGAATGTCTCTCAGATTTGTCTAATGTTTCTTTAGGATTATATTGAAGTTAATGCATTTTTGTCAGGAAAATTGCAGAAGTGGCTCTTTTGCTTCTCGTTGCATTCCAACAGGTGGCACACATGGTTTTATTTTATTACTGCTGATATTCTTTCTAATCATTTATTAAAGTGATATTTTCTAGGTTTCTCCACTGTCAAAGTACTTCTTGTAAAGAGATACTGTGAAACTCTATCATCCTGATCAAATGAATTCAATTCATTTTATGGCTTTATCGTTTCCTATTTGATTCAGGAGGTTATAATATAATCTATTGTTGTGATTGTTATGCTTTATGTTGATGCTCAGATTGTCTCTGATTTGGCCAGTGAGATTCCTTCAAGTTGTCTTCTGTTTTCTTCTGACATATCCTCATCATCCATTTCCTTCTGTCATTTATTTGTGTCTCCTCTTCTTTTTATTTCCTCTCATCTCCTAGTTTTCTACTTCAGACTTGCTGTGGGTTGGAACACTAGGTATCTGCTGGTAAAAATTGTTTACAGTAATTAAGATGCTCTGAAAGAACGCAGGGAATATATAATTTTAGTGGAGAGTATTTTTGCCATCATCCTTTGTCATCTTGTTCCTTCTACCTCTGTTTAAAGATGAGGTCAATGTGCTGGTGTGATGAGATTGACAAATTCTAAATTTTGGGTAAATAGCATATTGGTATATTTATATTGTGACATTACAGGTCAAGTGGCTACTAAATTGTGCTGTCTTCTTTTTTTAATAGGCTTTATAACATAGGAGTTAAAGTATTGATTCTAGAAATCAGACAAAACTGAGTTTGAGTTCTGGCTCTATCACTTATTAGTGAATTTGGACTAGTTATCCCACTGAGCTTCAGCTTCCTAATCCTTAAATAGTGTGATACTACACAGCTAAAGACAAAAGACCAAAAAAAAGCAGATGGGAATGTATGTATTGATGGGAAATGATATTGAAGAGATATTAATCTATAACGCTTAGCATGAAGAAATCACTCAATAAATGTGAACCTAGCTATCCCACCTAATAAGACATTTAGGCATTGCTGCTTTCTGTTGTGTGTATGTATAGACACTAAATATTTGGAATACATATTACAGATAAAAGGATTATATTCCATGTGTGTGTGTTTGTGTGTGTATAAAATGTTAAATAAATAAAATGACTAATCTAGAAAAATTAACAAATAACGGGAACAGGTAGTTCATATACAAGAAGATAAATACTGTTTATATGCAAATGTAAAGACGGTCTGTATCACTAATAATGAAGGAAATAAAAATTTAAATAACCATGAGATAATTTCATTTGATTAAATTAGCAGAAGTTTAAAAGATGATACCTAGTGTTACTGAGGGCGTGAAAAAACACTTTTATATTGTCGAGAGGGCATATTAATACAATTTATTTGAGGGAAAATTGGCATTATTAAAATTTAAAATATGTAAACTTAAATTCTACTAGAAATTAAATCAGAAGATACACGCAAGTATAAAATATTTTCTGCTGGAGAAATTTCATAGTTAAGCTTTTACTCTGTGAAGGACTAGTCTAAAAGCATTTTTTAGGTAGGTAGGTTCAAAGGTAGATAGATACTATTTTTTATTCTTACTTTACAGATGAAGAAACTGAGGCACAGGGAAATTAAGTAGGTAATTAAGCTCTTATTCTAGTAAATGGTGGAAGTAAGATTTGAAGCATGGATGACTGATTCTAGACCTTGTCATTTGGCTGTGTTATGCAAACATAGTTGCCAATCTATGAAGGATTGGTTCCATGTGTTATTTTCTATACATATAGTAAATAGTATGCAGCCATTAAAGTGAGAAAAGCAGAACACTATTTGTTGATATAAAATGGTATTGTAGATATATTATTAAATGAAAAAGTAGTATACAGAATGGCTTGGAATTTATGATCTTTTTAAAAAATAGATATATCTGTTCACATATGCGTCAAGATGTATATAAAACTGTTCATAGCAATGGCTGTATTTTGAGGGTGGGAAGAGGTGTAAATAACTAGTTTTAAAAATATTCTTAATTTTTTTCTACTTCTTTATTTTTATTATGTTATGTTAATCTAAAATATTCTTAATTTTCATTATTTGTTTAAATTTTGTATTAATCTTAGGTTGAGTAGTCAAATACTTAAGTGAGGGTAGATTTTTAAATTTAATATATCTTCCTAATCTAGTCAAAGAGAGTTTCCTTATAAGTGTCCCAATTTGAAAATATTGGGACATTTTTTCTTTTAAAAATGTGTAGAAATTAAATCTGTGCCTTAGTGATGCCTTCAGTGAGTGAGTTACGAACTTATTTAGGGAAACCATTCCTCAGTAATACATATTAAGGGGTTTATTGAAATAGAATACAAAGGGGAATTTTTGTGATAGTATTTTTCAGGGTGTTATTTGGAACTTATATGTCTGGTATGCACTTAACATATTGTCTGATGGCAAGCAGAGTGCTTTGTTTTTTCCCCCTTCTTTTTCTTAGCAAGAGACACCTTTTGAAAAACTATTTTCATGCAGGCTTAGGCCAGTGGAATATCTTTGGGAATTTCAAAGCATCCCTCTGATCATGTATTTATCTCTGGAATGCTGTGTCAGAAATCACAAGTCTCCTCATATCTTAAGAATTATCGACTCCCAAGCAATAGCTGGAAAGTTTAGAGTAACAGCTACATGAGTGGAACCTTGCTGAAAGGCTGCCAGGTTGTGGGCCTTTGTGGATGGCAAGGTGTTTGTGTTCATTCCCATGCCAAAGTTCTTGCTCTTATCTAATTTGAAGATCCTCTCTGGTGATTAGTGGATGCCAGGGATTTATCTTGATAAAGTTCAAGGGCTTGTCTGGCTTTTCAGTTAGATCCTTAGGGAGTAAAGTGCTAGGGTTAAAATGCTCTTTTCTCCTTTAGTGAACTATTTGCATGTTAAATAAAATAGCATTTATGTGAAAGTTTATGATATTTGAAACTGATATAGTTCTGCAGTGGAACTTCTGAGCCTTAGTGATCTGGAAGACATTTGCTCTTTGTTGTGACAAAAAGAAACTTTCACAGAAGTCTCCCTTGTTCATATTTTTAAAAAGTCAGCAGTGTTTACACTTTCTATATGTGGAATGTTAGGAAAATTACTTCTTTGTCATCTGTAAAATGGGGATGATAATATGTAGTTCTTAATTTAATTCATGGATTGTTATAAATAATTCATATATATTCTAAGTGTAGTAAATTACAGATACTAATTATTCATTAAAGTCAGTGAGTTTGTAAAGAAAATTATAATACGTGGGGTGCCTGGGTGGCTCAGTTGGGTAAGCATCCAACTCTTGATTCTGGCTCAGGTCATGATCTCAGGGTCTTGGGATTGAGCCCTGGGTAGGGCTCTGTGCTCAGTGGGGAGTCTGCTTCTCTTCCTCTCCCTCTGCCCTCCCCTCCACGAGTTCTCTCTCTCTCTCTCCCCCCACAAAAGTAAATAAATGTTTAAATCTTAAAAAAAATTATAATATGTAAAATTTTATACTTTAATATTTGGTTTTTAATTGACAGTTTGGAAAGTTAGCTTTAAAACTAAAAGTCGTATCTGTCGTACAAATTCTTTATGCCAAAAAGTTTGAAGTGCTTTTTATTAAAGTTGATGGCAGATACTAAAAATTTAAAGTTATTTACTTCTTAAATATTAACAAGGATTTCATTTCGTCTCTTAAATAGAAACTTAAGCTGTACCCTGAGAACAAAGCCAGAAATATCCCTAGCACATTGCTTGTCATATAGGATCTCAAACTTGTGCCAAATGTATGCTGCATTTTCTTTGTGTTTTCCAAAGCATTTTAGAAAAATGTGACATGTTAGTCCTTTCATGATCATTCTTGAGTAATGGTAAAGATAAATTTCTGCAGTTTTTTTTTTAACTGTAGCACATGCTTTATTAGCACATGCTTTATTATAAATGTAAATTTACACTTACATACATGATAAATAACATACATGATAAATATGATAGCTTAAAGATCACCTTTATTGAAAACTTTAGTCTTTTACATGGAAACCTTATGATAATGGAAACAGTAAAGGAAAGGAAAATATCCTGAAATTTGCCTGCTGCTTTTTCTTTAAATTGGATCATTATGACTTTGAATTTTGTTTTTATGTGGCCCAGAGCTGAAGCATTATTATTTTGCTTCCTCAGAAATAACTTGAATCAGCCAAAGAATTTGGAAATTGATTAATTTTATTTCTCATTACATATTAATAATTATTTTAATTATTAAATAATTATAAATATTTATAATAATTATTAATAAGTAGGCTAAAGAATTGAGAACTTTCTCCATTTGTGAGCATATGTATTTTTTATTTTAGTAATATATGCATAATTTTATATCTTGAAATCTTTATTATTATTGCTTATAGGTGATTATACTATAGCATTCTGTTTAAATGTTAAAATGATTGTGGTAATGGTTGCACAACTCTGTGAACATACTAAAAACCATTTAATTGTACACTTAAATTGTGTGATATATGAATTATATCTCAATGAAACTTTAGAAAAAGCTCAATATGAGAAAATAGTTCATTTGGAGGCTCTTGTTCAGACAAACCTGGAATTACATGGCGTTTACTTTGGCAAGTTACTTTACCTGTCTGAGCTTTACTATTTTAACTTTTAAAGTGGAAGTAATATGGAGGCTCCTGGGTGGCTCAGTTGTTAAGCGTCTGCCTTCGGCTCAGATCATGATCCCAGGGTCCTGGGATCGAGCCCCGCATCAGGCTCCCTGCTCGGCGGGAAGCCTGCTTCTCCTTCTCCCACTTCCCCTGCTTGTGTTCCCTCTCTCGCTGTGTCTCTCTCTCTCTCAAATAAATAAATAAAATCTTAAAAAAAAATAAAGTGGAAGTAATATGTATGTTAGGATTGTTTGGAGAATTAAGTAATAATTCTTGGCATATCGTCAGTTTAAATCATAGCTATTAAGTTATAAATTTATATAGGATCATGTGGAAGCACGAAGAATAGTGCATTATGAACTTGGACTTGGAGATTCGGGGGAGGCTTACCTGTAAGCAAGGTTTTGAAAGGTGAGAAAGAAGAGGTTACTGGCAATCAGGGCTAAGAGGAAGGTATCTTAGCTGAGGAATAACATACACAAAGGGTCGGATTTGTGAAATGACATACATGCTCAGGAACTGTAGGAGCATATTGCAGAAGTGTGTGAGGAATGCTGGATTAAATGTAAATTCATGTAGGTAGCCACACTTTAGATGTATTAGGAATGAGAATATGAGAAAGATCTTAGAAAATAAATATTTGCTCAACTGTAATAAAGAATATACATGATTGATAGCATTGTTAATGGTAGTAGCTTTAAGGGTTAGAAATGAGATCAAGTTTTTCTTACCTTTAATTAACCATCTTGTCTTGGACCAATAGAGGTTGTACATGTTAAGGAACATCTATAGTAAATTTTTTTCTGTTACCAGTTTTCCAATGTTTCATTATGAAAATGTTCAAACAGAGAAATTGAAAGAATGGTACAGTGAACACCCACAGACCCCATCACTGAGATACTGCAGTTAACCTTTAACTCTATTTGCTTCATCATAAATTCTTCATATATCCGTCCTTCTATCCATCAGTCTTATTTTTATGTGTTTCAGCAGACATTAGTTCACTTCATAAGCATTTCAGCATGCAGATCTTTAACTAGAGATCAGTACAGTTTTTTAAGGTAAAATGTACGTGCATTGAAAGGCACAGTTCTTAAATGTACCATTTGATGAATTTTGACAACTTTGTACACCCATGTAACCCAGATCCTCAATCAAGACATCATCAGTCTTGAAAGTTCCCTCATGTGCCTTCCCTGCTAGAGGCAATTATTCTTCTGATTCTTTTCTACTGTAGGTTAGTTTTGCCTTTTCTAGAACTTCATGTAAAAGGAAATAACAAAGTTTGTGTTCTGTATAAGACTTTCTTCCCTCAACATAATGCTTTTGAAATTCACCTGTGTTATGTTTATCAGTAGTTTCTGTTAATTGCTGAGTATTGTTTTGTTGTATAAGCATATCACTTATTCATTTTTCTTTGAAAGGATTCTGAGCTGTTTCTAGTTTTTGGCTATTGGATAAGGCCTCTTGAACATTATTGTACACATTTTTTGTGGGCATAAGTTATCTTGAGGAAATTCCTAAGAGTGGGCTTGTACATAGGTTAGTTTTATGTCTTAAATTTCAGTTATGGAAAAAACAATTTCAGTTTTCTAAATACTATTTTCTGTTGCTCATTTCAGTGCTTAACTATGAGTGAACTAGATCTTACTAGTTCTTTCTTTTGTGAACAAATGTGAAAGTAAATTCTACATAGCACTCCTCCCTCCAAAATAGGTTGCTAGGGAATGTACTTAGAGATTTTCTTAAACAATAGGTTTATGAATTTCTGCCTTGAGTGGGAAATGCATAAATTATATTTTGTATTATTTTGAGTGTACTGCTAGTGCGCACAGACGGTCATATCTACTCCCCCTAAAGTCAATAATCTTCATCTGATATAAGCTACCATGATTTAAGCACACCATTTTGGATTGAGGGCTCAGGTGGCTGTTGCTTCTATTTTTTAGTGTATAGTTAACATTGGCAGTCACCCTTATAATGATGTGACACCAGCTACCCCCAAGTACATTGAATAAGCCATGCCTAACACAAGAGAACTTGATTTAATTGGCAACAGTGTTTGCTGTCACATGATAGGCACTGAAGTAAAACAGAACCTATTTCACTTTGTATTGTCTTTCTTTGGTATAACAACAAAAACAAAATATATTTTTAAGATACTGGAATTACATAATTTCCACTTTTGAATACATTTATTGGGATCAAGTATTTAAGTAACTTTATTTAGAAACTGAATACTTTAAAGCTGTTAAGGGAATACTTGAAGCTTGCAGTTACAATATTGTCAACAAAAGATGTGATTAAATAAATTGAATGTTGAAGACTTTAGGCTTATGGTTAACACCAGGTAATTAAAAGTAAGCACTGCTGTGGGAGTGCATTATATATCAGCTGTCCTCTTTACCTCATTAGCTGAGTTTTTGCATGTTTATGGAGCTAACTTCAATTAAAAATGCCTTTTAGTTATGCCTAATAAGGTCTTTTAGTTACTATTTTGGTATAAAGTATTACACTTTAATTGAAATTGGTGTATCATAAATACCTGTGTTTGAATAATAGACAAAATGAACAAATTTGATTATTTGGAATTTTTTGCATCTAGCTTTTATACCTATGCATTGTTTTTTTGATATAATATTATCAAAAGATAGTCTTTGGGGCTTAAAAAGAAAAACTTGGACTATATACATGTTAAAAATTGTTTATTATTTTTTTTTTTTTACCTTATAAGATTTCTAAGGTTTTATGATTTCAAATTAGTGGTGCTTTAAAATCCATGTAGAAACATGTTGAGTTTTCTGCTTCAGTTCTGAGGTTAAGAAAAAGTTAATTACTTTTCCACTTGAGTGCCAAAATCCCCTTTTTATATACCTTTGGTTATATTTTATTTAAGTTGGATAATTAAAGATGATCATAAATTTAAAGAATATTATATAGTAATTGTAAGTTCAGATGTTATAATGGATTATTATATTTCCATAGGACATTGTCTTCATTCTAAAACACTGAAATTCAGATAAATATGAATGCCATTGGAGAGATTTCTTGTTGAGAGAATATTCTAAATTGTACATCAAAATAGAAATAAGTAAATTATAAAAAGAAATTAGTTTCCTACTTTCTGTTTTGAAATTAATGTAATTAGGTTGAGTGACCTTTTCTGTTTTAAAATCTATTTACTTTCCTTATTACAGAAGTGTCATCATTGCAACAAAAAAATCAGCAGTCTTACCTTCCACACTTAGTACAAGTTTACCTACCAGTGCTGTCAGTGCGGTTTCTTCAGTAGATTCAAGCCAAGCCTCAGATGTAGGAGGAGAATCACCTGGTGAGTTAGTTATTAATGATTTGAACAAAAAAGTTTTTAGATCCCATTTTTGCAAAGTTGAGGATTTTTGATAAAGTTATTTTGTTAGGCATTTTATAAATCGTTATGCTTTTATAGTATTCTGTTGATTGTTTCATAATTTTCAAAATAAATTTGAGCAGCATCAAATAAATTATATCAAGTTATTCCAGTATTTTCGTCACTTAAAGAACTTTTTCTTAATATTTAATGATAAGAGGAAATGTTCGCAGTTGGTTAAGTTAAAAAAAATATGTGCAATACTTTACATATACCATGTAACCGTAGCTATGTGAAGTATATGTCTTTTATACATGGAGAAAGCTAGGAAATATACTCTGAAGTTACTTGATTATTTCCATGTGGTTGAACTACTGGCAGTTTTGATTTTTTAAGTTTCATGTTAGTGTCTTTTTCAAACTTTTATCATTAATCTTGTATTATATTTATACATAATTATACACTATTCAATTTATTGAAAAAAGAATTTCTACCTGGAAATTAAAATCTGTAGTAGTAGTATACAGAGTTTTGTGCTGTGTTGCCTTTTATTTTATTAAAAATTAAAAAAAAACCAAATAGGCCTTACTTATTTCAGTTTTAGGTTACAGAAAAATGGAATGGAAAGTACAGAGTTCCATATACTACCTCAACATTCCCAATTCCCATTACTTCCCATTCCCTATTACTAACATCTTACAGTAGTGTGGTACATTTTTTCGTCATTGTTCTAGTGAGAAAATATGAAAGAAAATAAATGTAGAACTCTACCAGATTTTTCCATTATACTCTGATGCTTTTGTTTTACTTTGGAGGAGAAACAGTTTGGTAATCTATATTAGGCTGGATGAAATTTCTGTTTTTTCACCCCCATCCAAAAACCCCTAAAAAAAAAAAAAATCAGCTGGGATTTTTCTAGAGCTGCTTCAATTGGGAAAAAGGCAGAAGGTACTTACATTATGAAATTGTAGGCCATCTTTTAAACTCAGTGTTAGTGAATTTCTAATAACTTCCCAGAGCAAATGTAGTAAGTTTAGAGGTTCACAGTACACTGAGTAAAATATTTTCATCTTATTTTGAATATATTGCCTTTTAATTTCAGTTTATGGGACAAAGTAATTAAAGCAGTCCTCTGATTGCTTTTAAAATATTTTTCAAAATTTAAATCATGCAGTCTTCAAAAGATAAACAGGAAGCTGAGAGATATATGGGCAATATTGGATATAAAACAGTATGATACATTTATTTCTGAAGCATTGTATTTTTTCCAGCATATCCATTATTATATAAACTCACCCTGAAGAACCATATGCAGAATTACAAAATAATTTGCTATTTTGAAGACTATTTATTTATTGGCAAACCCCCACAAAACCCTGTATCCAGCCTATAATGTACCCTTTTCCCCCATTATTTAAATTTTGTTTAATTTCCGGTGATGTTTCTCAGATAGTTCCCAGGCTTTCCCATTTTGTGCTAGAATTGTTAGCTCTTTCCTTCTCCCTAAAACCCCTTAACTAAGAAAAAAATTCCTCATTAAGTTATTCCAAATCTTTGTGGTGATGGTCTTTGTTTTTATCATTTGTTTTTCATAACTGACCCTTTCCTCTTTCACTGTGCTCTTGTTGTCATTGTTATATGGTGTCTCCAGTTTGCTTTCTTTCTTTTTTTTTTTATTATTATGTTATGTTAATCACCATACATTACATCATTAGTTTTTGATGTAGTGTTCCATGATTCATTGTTTGCGTATAACACCCAGTGCTC